ATTTTTGTTTCTTCCTCCCAGTTTTGCTGTGAACTTAAAACTGCTCACAAAAGAGTCATAAAAATAACCTTTAACCATTTTAGTCATACACTTGGGAAAACCACCACAGAGCCTGAGTAGTATCTGGATGTTGACTAGGACGGGAACTGATTATAGCCTCCTGCATGGGACATGTCACCTAGAGACATAATATTTTTGAAGAAACAGATAAGAATGTAAGAAGAAAGTTTATGACATTTTACCACCTAGATCTCACTGCACTCTGTTCTGTTAGACTATAGATTTCCTTAGCATTGTTATTTTGAAAGTGTCTTTTAATCATTCAAAATTTCCTTTTATGTATGAAGATACCAAGAGGACTGTCTTTCTTTTAATAAATACTAGCAATATGCAAGCATCAAAGAAGAAAGGCAGCATGACAAACTAGGTTACTAAGAAGTGGTACATCTAAAATGATTTGCCTGCAGTTGGAACCAAATTGTTACAGTAAATCATCTAGAAACCTTTTAATTCTTAAGTTCCATTTCTTGATGCAGATAGAAACCGTGTATTTTTCATTCTCCCCAGAAAATCAACATCTGCGAAAGACTGTGTTACTTGCTTATTTATAAATGCATTCCTTTTATGAAGGACATACTGATATTTACAGTGTTTCATTTGTATTATGGAGTCATCAACAGTAGAATTTTTTTACAGGAGATGATTTTCTCTTGGGTTGTAATTTCCCTTTGAATTTCATGCTTATGCTTTGCATAAGTTCCTAAGGTATTGATCCCTAAGCCTGGGAGATCTTAGCTAGGAATATCCTTCTGCTTGATTCCTACCCCCCAAATGAGATAGGTTCCTACTGTGTAGTTCAGGCTGGCTTTGAATTTGTAGCAATACCCCTACCTCAACTTTCTCAGAGCTGGGATTATAAGCATGTGCTACTATGATCAGTTTTTTTCTTGATTTGTATTACCTTCCAATTTGAGTATCTGACTATTCCTATAGGGCCAAATCATCCCTTTTATTGCTCAAAGAATGTTAATGTTAATAGATTGGATTTATTTTTGGAAGTCTTTGGGAAATAATATTTGATTATTATTTTTATGACTCATTATTAACAAAGAATTGTCTCAGTGTCATCTCTTGCTTTTACCCTTGTTTCATGTTCTGCAAGCACCTCAGGTGCAAAGTGGTTGGTGCTTTAGGGGGTGATTGTGGTTGCTAGTATAGTAGGGATTCTGTGGGTGCTTTCATCAGTAATCTGTGCCATGCAGTTACGGAGAGTTGGGTAATAGTCAGAATTTTTTAAATAAAGACTTGAAACATCCCTTCCTGTTTACTGATATGGAAACTGACTTAGGTAATTTACTCAGATTCATGCTCTTTGTTCTTTCTGATATAAAGAACCTTACTCTTTTGGAGCTGGAGATACATAGCTCAACAGCATAAGTGCCTTTTTGCCAAGTGCAAGGTCCTGAGTTCAATCCCAGTACCAGAAACAAAACAAAAAAAACCTGACTCTACCTTAGGGCCTTCTTTAAGAGCCTTGCTTTTCCAGTTGATACATACATTTTGGTTATAGTTGTTTTTGCTTATTATTATAGCTAGCCATTTGGTAGAGCTCTTTGTTCAAATCACTTCAGTCAGCAGTATCTTATTTTTTGCGTTTCATGTCTTTGCCTGTGCTGTAGTGGGCCAGGATGGAAGTAACCTAGTATACTGTCTTTCGTAAATTTAGTGAAAACTCAAAAGCGTGATAGGTATGATTTTTCTTTAAGTAATTTAACTTTTACTTTTATAATTTTAAAAATTGTTAATAGGTAAATGTGTAGTTATTATGGAACTGTCTGATATGACTGATATTATGTTATTATGACATTATTAGTGACATAATATCAGACTGACATTATATATATCAAATAGAAACCATATTTCATTTATTTAATTTAAAAATAATACAAAACTATTCTTAGAGATAAATTATTAGCTGTTATTACAGCAGGCTTTGCAGCTCCTCAGAATATTATATAATAACATCAGTTGTTTTTCTGTGGCATTCTCTCTCACTGCCTTCCTTCGCTGGTGCCAACTTTGTCTCCTTTTGCCAGAGCTGGTCCCTGTTTGTCTCCCTCTATCTAGTGATACCTCTTATGTTGTCTTTCTTGGGGCTAAGTCAGAATGAGTATGTGATCACTAGCTCTTGTGAACCAATAGGCTTAGTTAAGCACGGGCCCATCATAAATGAATTTTTTTTGGAGGGGTATTACTGGGAATCAAACTCAGGACCTTGTGCTTGCCAGACAGGTGCTGTGCTTCTGAGCTATATCCCCAGCTCTTGGACCATCATAAATGAGGAAAAACATTTAATTTTAATTTTTAAAGTCTCCACCTATTTCTTCTATGCAGAAATCAACCTGTCAGTAGTCTGATGTGTTATTAGGTAGACAGGAATGTAAATATAATATTTAATATTATATAGATAGGAGCTTTGGCAAGTGAATTTCATGTTTTACTTACAGAAATATAGGCATTAAAAGAACTGACATTGATTACAAAGTTTTTAAAGCTGTTTGCATTGTGATTATCCCTATGAAACTCAAGGATTATTATTTCTGATATTTTAAAGAGCAGCCTATCTAAATAGTAGTTTTAAAAGAAAGGATATTTACATCATTTATTTTCTTTTAGATACAATATATTATGAAGTTAATATAAGGAGACAGATTTTTTGAAGTTTTCTTTAATCCCAAACATGGGTTTATCCATTAAATTATTCTGATCCACTAGGTAATTCTAGCATTATTGCTTTAAGGAAATGATAAAGATTTTTTTTTTGCGGGGGGGTGGAACTCTTTCTTTTTCTAGAATTGGATGGCCAAGGTATAATTTTAAAAGCGTTCTTTTTATCATCTCACTGTATATAAGTCCATATACAAATGAAGTGTGTGTGTGTGTGTGTGTGTGTGTGTGTGTATGTATGTGTGTGGTATTGAGCACGAACCCAGGCCTCCATGTGTTCTAGACAAAAGTACTTTTACCACTTAACTACATCCCCAAGCCTCTTATTTTAAAAAAAATGAACACTTTCAAGTGTTAAAGGTATTTACGCATTAATACTTAAAAGTACCCTGAATTTTCTATTTTTTTTGTATAACCTCCCAGGTAACTTTCAGTTCAATTTTCCTAATACTCACAAACTGAGACAATATTCCTACATGTATTTTAATATTGACTCAGCCTGCATTCACAGTAGAGGGGTCTGCTCCTTTCTTGTGATGCCTTCATTGCCAGATGGGTGAGATTAGCGCTTTCATCTCATCTTTCTGTGAGCACTTGTGGGAACAAGAGGCTACTTGTACAACCACACACATTGGGGAATGAAACTTTTCCTTTAGGAAAAAGGTATAGGCTGGGGAGCTAGCTCAGTGGTCGAAGTGCCTGCCTGGCAAGCACAGGACCCAGGTTTGATCCCGGGTACTGCATGCTGTGCTGGCCCTGGAGCCAAGCTCGTTAGTGCATGACTATAATCCCAGTGCTGAGGATGCTGAGTGATCCTCACAAGGTCACTGAGTCGGAGCTACATAGAGAGACCCTGTACCACAAAAAAAAAAAAAAAAAAAAAAAAATGTGTTTTTCAATATGGGTGCTTTACAACATTGTAATGCATTTTTAAAAGAAATTAATTACAGAATAACTATATATGTCCTACTTCTTTTTTTATAATTTTACTTTTTAAATGTATTTAGGACAGGGTCTACAGTTTTACTACGTAGATTGAACTTACAGTGATTTTTTTTATTTTCAGCCTCCTAAATTGATGTATTTTTAAGTATTTTAAAAATTCCAGAATACTTCTGAAGCACCAGAAATAGAGTTTTAAAAAGCAAACAAAAACAAATGTAGAAAAACCAAAACCCATGTATGTTAAGGAATGTGGACTGCTTACAAATGGTCCCTGTATGAAGTTAATATAAGGAGTTGTCTTTCTGTAGCCCTTTTTGTGCCTCCGTTATGGTGATCTTTATTAGAAAGTAGGACTGGAGTTACAAATTGGGCTAAGGGTGTGGAATGTAGACTCACATTCCTAGCTGGGTGATTATTTGTGCTACAATAAAGGTTTATGTTTTTACAAATTCCATTTTAAAAATATGTATCTGATTTTAAAGTGTTAACTTTTAATTATTTATAGTAAATTATGTAGCTTTCCTTTGAGGAAGGTTTGTATTTTTCATTTTATATATGTTATAATTGATGTATAGATAGTGATTTGCATGACATTAGAGAAAAATTGACCAGTGTTTCTATCAGAAACTCCCACACTTGCTTTCCCATTGTTCTTACTACCTAGTTCTTGTTTTTGCTCTTTTTCTCTCATTTTCTACCCTGTTAGATACTCCATTTACTTGGGATTTTAAAATGGATCTGGAGATTTGAAATTTTAAGAAAAAGTTTCCTTTTTTTTCAGTTGTGGTATATGATGTTAAGAAATACACTTTCTGAAGCAAATAGCAATCTGGGTTGACTTTTCTTAGTGGCAGTTTTGCCATTATTTCTTTGTTATTTTTCCTTCTCCCCCATTAACATCATCATTATAATTATCATGTTATTGCCTTGTGACTCTAGAAAACTTACTGGGTACTTAAGTGCAGTTCACTTATAAATATGTGTCCCATATAAATCCTCTTCTTTCTTATTCTTATTTGAAAATTTCTCATAATTAGAGTATTATCTGAAATATTCTGTGTTATGCTAGTTCTTTATTAAGTTCCTTTTTTGGTATGATGCTTAAATATTTGGTTTTCTGGAATTTCCTTTGGGTTTTTTGTTTTCCCTCACCTTTATGCGTTTCTTTTCTATATTCCCCCAAATTTCAGGAAAGTCAACTGTTATAGAGTTTGTACATATTTATTTACATGTTGTCTTTGAAATCATTATATTTAACTTAGTTGAAAAAAATGACAAGAGAAATACCTAAATACTATTACTGAAGGCTTGTTTTTTAATCCCTCCAGGAAAGAAAAGAGAGACTATCCAAATTTGAGTCTATTCGTCATTCAATTGCAGGAATAATTAGGTCTCCGAAATCTGCACTGAGCTCTTCATCAGTAAGTATGAGTAACTGTGTATGCTACTGAAATGGGCACTGTCTAGTCTCTGTCTGGGGCAGATTACTGTCTGAAATATAAATATATATTTTAAAAATAAGTTTTACCTTTTTGTATGCATATGAATCTTTTCATACATTTACATAACAGAACCTTATATAACAGAGATACAGGAGGTAAAAAATAATTTAGTGCAGTAGATCTCCTTTATCTGCAAGGTATACAGGTGAGACCCTTATTTAGGGTGCCCGAATCTGAATCAAATCCTATATAGTTTTTACCACACATATTTAACTATCTTAAAGTCAATGTATAAATTAGCTTCAGTAAACAATTATAATAAAATAAAACATTTAACTACATTATGATAAACACTGTATAAATGATCTGTCAAAATACCGTACTCACTTTCTTCTTATAATGATGTGAGATAATAAATGTTATTGCTGGCTACATGCTACTGAAACTGCAGAAAGTGAAGCCATGGGTAAGGGTAAGTACTGTGTTCTAGACTTCCTATGTGACCCATAAATAATTATAGGAACTTACTACGTAGTTTGGAGCCCTATTAGAAGGGTGTTAACAAATTTCTCCTCCAGTGAAATGTAACATTTTTATCACTGGCATTACTGCGTATTTGTTTTAAAATGTGTCAGTTTTATGTATTCATATTTTAAAGAACATTTTTATTATAAAATTAAAATTTGTTTGATAGATTAATGATTGAATTTTTAATTTGGCATGTCACAGTGGTACATAGAATTTGAGGTAACTCTGGTAGGAGAAACTTGACCAAAGAGAATGTGCTATGGATCAGAGCATGGAATATTTCTCTAAGGCAATGGGTATCCTGTGTTTTTTTTTTGAGGGGGGCCCTTAGTAGATTGGTGTCCTGTATTTTTGGAAAAGATGGTTTCTCTCTCAGCTCAGGTAACTGAGCTTGAGTTTTAATTTGAATGTAAACATTTCATGTTAAACATGCTAATCCAGATTGCATAACAACTTAAAAACTGCGTATCACTTTAAGGGGAAAGTTTTATACGTTCTGAAGAGAAACCAGAGTGTGTGCTTATAACTTTAAAATATCTTCTGAGGTAATATTTTTCAGGGTGTGCTAATTTTGTAAACATAAAATAGAAGAAAAATATTTTAATTAATTTAAATCATGTTTTCTTAAAAAAGTCATAAAAGCATGGCAAATTAGTATGTTAAGGTTGCTTAAATCATTTTATTATAATATATTTAACATAAAATTCATCTTTTAAAATGTATACCTAGTGGTTTTTAGTGCTATTGTGTGTAACCCTCAATATCATCTGATGCTAAAATATTTTGATCCTCTTGGAAAGATATTCTATAGCTATTAAGAGTTGATCTCAATCCCCACCAACCTGTTACTCTATCTCTGACAACTGTTATCTAATTTCAGTCCCTATGGATTTACATAATCTCAACATTTTGCAGATATAGAATCATAAAACATGTGGCCTTTTTTTGTCCAGTTTCTTATGTTTATCATCCTATTTTCTAGGTTCATCCATTTTGTGGGTGTGACAATATTTCATTCCTTTTTTTGACTAAGTAACTTTTTGGCTCCTATAAATATATTGCTTTGAACATTCATATACGGGTATTTAAATGAGCACATTTTCAGTTCTGTTGGTGACATACCTAGCAGTGGAATTACAAGGTCATGTGGTAACACTGTATTTACATTTTTTAGGAAGTGACATTTGTTCTCCACTGAGCCCACCATTTTATGCCTCCACTAGCAATATATGAATGTGTTAACTTCACATTCTTGCCAACCAATGGTTTTTATTTTTCACCTTAAAAAATTATGGGCCATCTAGTGGATGTGAAGTAACGTGTTATTTTATTGGCATTTTTTTTTTGATGAATAATGATGTTGAGTATATTTTTATGTGCATATTGGCCAGTTACATATGTTCTTTGTGGATGTCTATTCATATCCTTTACTTTTTTTTTTTAAATGTATTTGGTACAGGGTCTCACTACACAGCACAGACTCATAGTGATCCTCTCGTTTTTAGTGTCCCCAGTGCTGGGGTTACAGGCGGGTGCCACCACACCTAGACTTGGTCCCTGACTCAATGTACCCGGGGTAGGGCCGGCATGGTATTTATTTGGTGCCAGGGATCGAACCTGGTCCCTGAACTTGCCTAAGCAGGTGCTTACTCTGCTGAGCTATTTTGCCGGCTGTACCTGTTTTAAAACTTTTTGTATGTTTTTTATTGTGCTGGGATTAAACCCCAGAGCCTTATGCATACTAGACAAGCACTGTAGCACTGAACTGTGTGTCCAGCCTTGAATTGTTGTAATCAATTGTTGAATTATAGGAGCGCCTTAGTTACTTTTCCCTTGCTGAGACCCAATACCCAGTATCTACAATTGGAGGAGGAAAGGTTTACTTGGGCTCACAGTTTGTAGAGGTTTCATTCCATAGTTGGCTGGCTCCAGGGCAAGGTGGCATGGTTGAAGAGAAGTTGCTCATGTTATGGCAGCAGGAAGCAGAGACCAAGGGAGGGGTGGGTGATGAAACCATTCCAGGCCACGCCCCCAGCGACTCACGTGCTCCCCACATCACATCTAGCCATAGTCCATTGGTGGGTATCATGCCCCATGATCCAGTTACCTCCCCAAGCCCTACCCATGAGTGTACCAGCCTCTGGGGGAGTACGTCCAGAAATAACCAATAACAAGGAGTTTTTTCAGTGTATTCTGGAAATAAGCCTCTTATCATGCATACAGTTTACCAGTGCCTTTTCTCATTCTACAGATAGTGCTTTCACTGTCTTGAGAGTATCCTGGGTACAACAACAGTTTTTAATTTTGATGAAGAATAACTTTTTACATTTGATGTGCTTTTGGCATCATATCTGAAAAATCTATTGTCAAATTCAAAGTTATTTAGATAACTTTTTCCCTCCTGAGGGTTTTATAATTTTGGCTCTTATATTTACATTTTGTACACATTCATTGAATTATTTTTGTCAGTGGAGTTAGGGAGGAGGAGGTCCATATTCACACTATGCATGTTTATTTAAAGTATTAAAGTAATAATTATAAACTACCATTTCTTTATTCAAATGAACATATTAAAAATTGTAACTTTATAATATAATCAAATAAAGAAGATGTTATACATAGGAAAATAAAGTTTTATTTAATTATTCTTTGCCATACCTATGCTTCTAGTAGTGTGGTTAAATGTAGTAACAGTGTCCACTGGAGCACTTGTATCTTGAAAGAAGAAAATTTAAACGATAAGTGAATTTGGGTTTAGCTGCATATTGTGGTTTTGTGTCAGATATTTAAAGTTTACTTATATTATTAGGGTACTACTCCATACAGCTGATATTTTATCAGCATGCACCTCTATTTTTATTTACTAACAGAGCTAAATAACCTACTATTAGCATCTCAGAGCACTGAGGTAAACTCCACCGCTGTCATCTTCCTGTCTTCAAAAGGTTATTTGTTCTTTTACAGTCAAGGCCAGAGGTGTTGGACAGCATTAATTGTACTCTCTGAATGCTTGCTGCAGCCATGATGATGCATTGGAGTGGGAACTCTTAGAATCGTATTATTTAATAAAATTCATCCTAGTGATGTCAAGAATGCTGCCCTTTCTCCAGGGCCATTTCTTTACTGCAGAGCTTATATCATGAGTGGTTGAAAACTCCTGTTTCCATTTTATGCCCACTTGTGAATATTAGTTGTATCACTGGTATGTGGAATGTATAGGGCTCCTCTAGTAGAAGCATTTTTGGAGAAATGTTCTTTTAAACCAAAGAAAGCATATCTAAATGATTCATTTGTTATTTAAGCATAAAAAACTATTATTCAACATTCTCCTTAAATTCATTTTTTTCTATTGGCATGTTAATTTTGGAGTTATAATACTTTGAGCTATTTAGAAAACCAAAATATTGCAAACATTTGCTTCTTTTTATATGATAATATCATGAAAAGAATTTGCTTGCTGGCTTTTTAGAAAATTTTTCTTGAGCTGTGATTGAGTTGTATTAGTTATGATGTCAGTATTATAATAACTACATTCCCAATCATCATAAGGCAGTTTAGCTATTTTTACTTACAAGTAACAAACTACTTTCATTTTTCACTGTTCACTTTGCTCCTAGCAGAGTAACCTAGAATTTCCTCTAGCAAGACACACTAATATCAAGTTAAGTATTATACATTTTAAGCCTTACTTCTTGTCAAATAAGGCCTAATTTACATTTTCTCCAATCATTAAAATGTAGAAAGAAATAAAAAAATATTATTTTTCATAATTTTATTGAGAAATAAATAACAATGAGACAGTTTCAAATCAAACTGGTAGGACAGTTCCAATAATTAACATATTACATACCGCCTTCCTAGTGATTATTTGTTCTACAATATGCAGACATGATATCCTATTTACAAACACTATTAGAACAAATCCCTCTATTCCTTGAATTAAGAGAATGTAGCTATATATCTATCCTAACCATTTTGAATACATAGATACAAAATGGTCATTCATCTGTATCTCCTTTTTTTGTTTAGTTCTGTCATTTAAATATTATTTTTTTGTATTATATCACAGCCATACACTGAATTCTCCTGTATATTTATGTTTAAGAAAATTAAATATTATCCAATGAATTGTACATTTTGAGTCACACTGTACAACATAATTTCCAAGAAAGGCATAGTGGCACTGGCTTACTTTCTATGATTTTTACTGTGAGAGACCAAATCTGTTTGCCCAAATGCTTAACATAATTACACAGATCATATTAGTCTGATATGTTCTATGGGGCAATCCCAAAATAATGGTAATGTTATTACTGAAATATGATTGTATGCTGAGTCATGGTGATGATCTCAGAATGATTTGAGTTGAAATATGTGATATGAAAGTAACTCTGACTATAGTTAATTGATGAAAATGTGTTTTTATATCACATTTTAAACATAAAATGCAT